TTTTTTAATTCTTTAGCTTAATAAATAAGATTTGAATACAGATTAATTTGCTAAAAATAGACCTGGAAGGATCAAATAGTCCGGATTAGGATCATATCTAAATGGATATAACTTAAATATTATTCCTTCTATCAGAACCTAATCTATTGACTAGGTTGAGAAGACCATTATAGGGTCTTTCTTAATTATATCAATGAAAGGGACGAAAACATAAATAATTCAATTGCCTGTCTCAATGAGGTGTACTTATAAATATTTTATGAAAGATGTCATGGAGGTTGTTTGTAAGTGGAATGGACAAAAGAAAAGAGTAGCAAGAAAGGAGTGAATGGACCAGATCTAAATTCTTGAAAAAAAAATTATATTTTGATCCCTTTAACTATATCTTTTATCTTACATTATTCCCTCAACTATTATGTTTCTCATATTCCACCTCCAATTGTGAGCGTTAATTGATTACACATTACCACACTCATAAACATTAGAATGTATATATATTGCTCTATACATGGAAATTTTCCATACAAACAATGACCAAAGTTTGGTTGGTGTAAAATCAATATAAATAATTGAGGGCTAATATATAAAAGTCAATAGCTAAGGGAAGGATTAATTTGCTAACTATAAGCTTGAAAGGATTAAAATAGTTCAGATGGGGATCATATCTAAATGGATCTAATTAGGATATTCTTCGCTCAATCATAACCTAATCTATTGATCACCCTACATTGACCTAGTTGAAAAAAACCATTGTAGTGTCTTTCTTAATTATATTTTTGAAAGGGTCAAAAACATAAATAGTTCAATTATCTTCATCAATGAGGTGTACTTAAAAATATTTTATGGAAGATGCCATGGAGGTTGTTTGTATGTGGAATGGACAAAAGAAAAGAGTAGCAAGAAAGGAGTGAATGGGCCGGATGTCAAATAAATTCTTGAAAAAAACATTATATATCGACGCCTTTAACTATATATTTTATCTTACATTATCCCCTAGACTATTTCGTTTTTTCGCATTACACTTCCAATTGTGGTATTGATTTCATATTACAACACTCGTAAACATTAGAATGTATATATATTACTCAAAATGACTGTTCAAAAAAAGAGTTAAAAAAGAACAACCGCAACTTTTATTATTTGGGTGTCATGGGTTTGGATTATGGAGAGAGTCTTTACGTATGCAGGATAAAAATTTCGTACATGTGATCCTTCTGAGACCCTGATGGATCCTTAACACTTATTTTTATCAAAAAGGGAAAAAAATTAGGAAACCCCTTTGCATTTGCGTGTGACAGAGCATAAGAGACTAAATCTTGTATTATTGATCATTGACCTTTTTCGCTAAGAGGGTGAAAGTTGGCCAACCACCCTATTGGTTTATTCATGTACACATCCTCTTTCCAAGTCTCCAACAAGATAATAATATATACTTTAACTAAAAGCTTGAAGCACTATATTTTTAGTGCAAGTTGACAACTTCCATGATACCGCATTGTTCTTTAATTTTGCAATAAAAAATTTAAAGGGGAACCTCCCTCAATCGAGAATAGAACAAAAGATCAATTGTGATTGAATTTCAAAACAATCACAAATGAGAAGGCAAGCACTAGGCTACGTATTACAGGACTCGGACTCATTTGTAAAAGAAGGGCAATGGAACTTACTGGAAAAAACTAGAGATTTTTCACGTAGTTACGATTTAATCAAATTAAGTTAAGGAAGTGATTATAATTTTTGTAAAATTAAATTTTTATTTTGGACTAGGAGTTATAATTATAAAATCTGGGGCTTAAAGCCCAGGCATTGATGGCCTTAAGCCTACTCAGTCTGTTGAACATAGCAATAAAATACAATTAATCANAATTAAATTTTTATTTTGGACTAGGAGTTATAATTATAAAATCTGGGGCTTAAAGCCCAGGCATTGATGGCCTTAAGCCTACTCAGTCTGTTGAACATAGCAATAAAATACAATTAATCAAACCTCAAGGTAGCCCAAGTGGAGATAAGAACGAACTATAAATCTAGACGTTCTAAATTTGAAACTTGACAAGCCCTTGAGGTCAGCCTCCTGACTGTCAAAACAATTTAATTAGTATGATGTACCTCCATTAACTAGACGAACCAAGCTTTGGGCAGTGGCAGAGCCACATGAGGATTANTGACTGTCAAAACAATTTAATTAGTATGATGTACCTCCATTAACTAGACGAACCAAGCTTTGGGCAGTGGCAGAGCCACATGAGGATTAGGGGAGGCACGGGCCCACCCTAAATTTTTTTTTATAAAATATTACTTATGTGTATTTAAAATTATTATAAGTATAATTAAGTGTGTTCACTCTATTATTTTTTATTCTATCANGGGCCCACCCTAAATTTTTTTTTATAAAATATTACTTATGTGTATTTAAAATTATTATAAGTATAATTAAGTGTGTTCACTCTATTATTTTTTATTCTATCAATTAGTATAGTCATATAATTAAATAATCATAAACTTTTGGACACACTTTGAACATTTTATGGATACATCTATGTAGAGGTAAAAAATTGATTATACCTCTGAACGTGAATTTGTGATATGACTTCTAGGAATCAAATCTGAACAATCTCCTCAACTCTTTCTTGCAAAACGAACAAATTGTCCAAGATCGAAATGCTTCGATAGAAGGCACTCCGATATNATTTTATGGATACATCTATGTAGAGGTAAAAAATTGATTATACCTCTGAACGTGAATTTGTGATATGACTTCTAGGAATCAAATCTGAACAATCTCATCAACTCTTTCCTGCAAAACGAACAAATTGTCCAAGATTGAAATGCTTCGATAGAAGGCACTCCGATGTTTAAGTTAGTAATAGAACAAAAAGAATTGTGCTAAGATTAGGATAATTCAACGTACTTTTCACCTTGGTCTCTCCTGCTTTTTATAGATCATTATCCCCTTAGGGTTTCCACGATTTTAGGTTCAAGGTGGTACACCTTCCTTCAATTCAGTCATTCAGTTTGGGAAGTTGCTAACATTTCTCCAATATTTCCTCCTGATATCAACAATTTCGTTGATTCGTTTATCTGCTTGCCTAAATTATAAGCAAATATTTATCTTTCTATTTATCATTTAAAACAGCTTGGTCATATCGAATACCGAACACACTTGATATTTGCCNTCCCCTTAGGGTTTCCACGATTTTAGGTTCAAGGTGGTACACCTTCCTTCAATTCAATCATTCAGTTTGGGAAGTTGCTAACATTTCTCCAATATTTCCTCCTGATATCAACAATTTCGTTGATTCATTTATCTGATTGCCTAAATTATAAACGAATATTTATCTTTCTATTTATCATTTAAAACAGCTTGGTCATATCGAATACCGAACACACTTGATATTTGTCGAACAGATTAAGGGACTTTGTTTGGTACAAACCGATCTCTTCAATTGCTTTGCCGAATACTTTAACGGAGTCGGCTTGGTACAACCCGAGCTTTTTCCTTACTTAGCTGAACAGACTGATGAGTTCGGTCATAAAGAGTACCGAACCCTTTCTGCCATTGTCGAACCTCTAATTAACTCGACTTTGTTGAAAAGCTTAATAGAGGATTCTTTATCATGCGTCTTGTCTTGTTAACATCACGTGAACACATTTAATGCTATGTCACATGTAATCATAAAGNAACGGAGTCGGCTTGGTACAACCCGAGCTTTTTCCTTACTTAGCTGAACAGACTGACGAGTTCGGTCATAAAGAGTACCGAACCCTTTCTACCATTGTCGAACCTCTAATTAACTCGACTTTGTTGAAAAGCTTAATAGAGGATTCTTTATCGTGCGTCTTGTCTTGTTAACATCACGTGAACACATTTAATGCTATGTCACATGTAATCATAAGGTATCACCCTTTCAATCTAGATAAATCTTTCACATGTCGGACTCATTTTTAAAGTTATAGATATTATGAAAATTAGGTTAAATAACGTAATGAGTGATCAATTGCTAATAGCTTGATTGGTTATATAGAGAAAGACTATAGTATCTTTTATGTAATTAGTATCATTTGTTGTGAAGGGTTATAATTAACCTCTTTTTTATTTTTTATTTGTATACGCTATATTTATCGATGTTCAATAATTTTTGTATTTTATGAATCTTTAATTATCAAATACAATACTGTAAATTTGAATACATTATTTTATTTTTATAGATCATGAGAAAAAAATTTTAAAATTTTTGAGTAAAGTATCCACCCTAAAAAGAATTTTTGGCATNCCTCTTTTTTATTTTTTATTTGTATACGCTATATTTATCGATGTTCAATAATTTTTTTATTTTATGAATCTTTAAATATCAAATACAATACTGTAAATTTGAATACATTATTTTATTTTTATAGATCATGAGAAAAAAATTTTAAAATTTTTGAGTAAAATGTCCACCCTAAAAAGAATTTTTGGCCTCGCCACTAACTTTGAGTGTTGATTTGACTCCCTACCAACCATGCAAGTCCTAATTGACCATTGCACNTCCACCCTAAAAAGAATTTTTGGCATCGCCACTAACTTTGAGTGTTGATTTGACTCCCTACCAACCATGCAAGTCCTAATTGACCATTGCACGTAATACGTGAGACACTTTTCAACTAGGAATTATCTTCTGGAAAGGACTAGAACTAGCTTTGAGGGGGTAATTTCCCTCGAAGTTAAGCTTAAAATACGAACAATCATGTTCAACCAATGAAATTTAGATTTGAAACAAGAGCACTAGGGGTTAAGTGTTCCCCAAAAAAAGTTAGATTCAAGGCAACAACTCCACTAAAACAAACAAAAAATTCTAGCTGCTCACTTCATTTGGATACCAGTATCTGTTATAGAACCAGATTGAATCTACAGCAACAGCATCACTGTCCTGGTTACGGTGCCAAGTATAATAGGCATGAGTTTTGTTCTTAATCTCCAAAGTAGCATGCCCGAAACTTGCTTCGCAATAGGCAGAGTAACTTGGTTGTGGGTCCATAAAACGACACAAAACAAAAAGTTCTAACTATAAGTAACTGTAATGGCAGATGGAGATTGTGTACTTGAGAGGATGAAGGTGTCTCACCTATCAGCCATGCCTTCTATATTTCCCCGTCGCCAATTGTTATGTAAACTGGAGCAGAAGTATCCTTAACAGGAGTGCTTAGTCCATCTGTTACGTTATACTGCACATTCGATTTTCGTTCCTACACAATTGAAAAAAATGATTCATATAACAGTAACAACTACACAATAAGATTGTTATATTATGATTTAGGTGTCATGAGTTCAAGTTACAAAAATAGTCTTTATCACACTCCCACCCCGGATCACATAGGGTGAGCAGTGGACTTGCCACCAAGGCTTTAACCAATCATCACTGTGCATAATTAATGCAAAATACAACNATAGGGTGAGCAGTGGACCGGCCACCAAAGCTTTAACCAATCATCACTGTGCATAATTAATACAAAATACAACGGAAGACAAATAATAAAGTGATCCTTTTCACCGACCTAATGAATACCAAAGAAATAAACTAACATCACCGACATTATTACTAAACTCATGTAAAATAATAATTAATCCATAAGGTTCACTACTCTAAGCAAAAATAACATTATTCTCAAAACAATCGAATATTTGTCTCAAAACTATAAAAATATTTATTCTTGAAGACCTACAATAAAATAAATCTTCGATTCTTCTAATCCCTTGTNTATTCTTGAAGACCTACAATAAAATAAATCTTCGATTCTTCTAATTCCTTGTCTATTCGAGGACTTACTCCTCCTCCTGATCCTCACCTGAAAAATATTAAATATTTGGGTGAGTACAAAGGCCTGTGAGTAGCAACCACCTCTAATGAGGTTTAAAAATAAATCTCACATTTCATATACATAGAAATAAACTTTGTTATATACATAAATACAATAAATTGTACCACAATCCCTTTCATATAACCATATAAACAAAATGATCTCATGATCATAATAACTTTATAAAAGAAAAGACATTTATAGTTCAAAACACTCACACACACATTCAGTCTCAAATACACTTGTTAAATCATGTTTGTTACCACTAATCTAATAACTGGCCTCATCTCTTGTCATCACTAGCCTGATAACTGGCCTCGTCTTTTGTTATCATTAGCCTAATAACTGGCCCCTATGTGCACATCTCTATACCGATCACGCCGGTATATAATCTCGTTACCATTTAGATTTGGTAACTCAGTCTCCTTCTCATAAAACATGATTTCAACACACACACTAAAACTGTTGTTTTAGTCTCGTCGCACACAAAATTTCTCTTTCATCACCAAAACCATTTAAGCAATAATATAAAATCATCTCATAAGTTTTGCAAATTAACATGTGTAACAATTCACAATTGTAAAAACATTTAATTGCAACCCCAAATAGCAACATATATCATATATATAAAAAATTCACACACACGCACCCACAAGTTTAATATAGAAAATCCTCCCAAAAGAAATAATAAACTACTCTCCTTGATTTTCAAAATTCAATTCAAAACACTCTTTCTCAACCTCAATAAAATCACCACCTAATTCAAAATAACATTTAACGATCAATCTCTATTTCTAACTTCGTCATTTCGTGATTCTATATTTAATTTACGTACTTTCTACTCTTTGATATATATTTAATATATCCTTTACATATAAATANTATATACTTAATATATCCTTTACATATAAACATCTTTTCTAATACGAGGGAATAGGATATGGAAGTATTCTGGGCTGTTTAGAAAAATTTCTAAAATTTGGGGTCAAATTATAATTTTTAAAACTTTTGGGGTCAAAGTATAATTTTCTTAAAAACGAATTTTCTGTCTTCGGGGCTGCCATAAATTTTCCAGAATTCTGTTCTTACAACTTACCGAGTTAAAAAAAGGAACTTAAAATTAAGTTTAGAAGAATAAAGAAGTCAAAATCANCATAAATTTTCCAGAATTCTGTTCTTACAACTTACTGAGTAAAAAAAAGGAACTTAAAATTAAGTTTAGAAGAATAAAGAGGTCAAAATAAAATTCCTTAAAACTAAAGGGGAGTTTTCTGTAATTATTTTTGGATTTTGGCCTTCTTCTTCCGGCGGCAGAACCTGGACCAGTACTTCCTTCCCCCTTTTTTTTTGTTATTCTTTCTCCTTAACATATTGATCAAATTCTATCAACCTAATTTGGGCAAACTTCTTCAAAATTAACATCCATAATAAAACTCATTTATTTATTTACTAATATTCTTTACCATGAACATATATATATATATGATAAACCTAACATCATCTGATTGAATAAAATAAAAAGAGTAATATATATATATATAAAGAGTTTGACCTATCCCACAATACTCCCATATTTAAAACCATATGTATAAGAGTCCTAATAGGTCTCTCTAGNAACTCATAAATTAAGTAATAAATTCATACCTTTAATGGATTCAAACCTTTTCTTTCTTTCCTCGTTCTTCTTCCTTCCTTTTTCTTTACTTCAAACCCTAGTCTCTCCTGTCCTTTCTCTTATTCTAATGTATGTGTAGGTGTTGGGAAGAGAATATATGTATCTATATCTATATATATATATATATATATATATCCCACAATACTACCATATTTAAAACCATATGTATAAGAGTCTTAATAGGTCTCTCTAGCGCAAGACTTTTATTAGACATATTAGTCTTCTTTAATTATTTTTATTTTTATATATATAATTACTCTTAGGTGGCCAATAAAGTAATAATAATTTATTTTTTTTTGGGTAATTACAGTCTTTCTGAAGTTTTGTGGTTAATTTACATTCAAATCACAATGTTTGGAATAAAATTTTCTGAGTTCTCTAACCAACAACTTGGCACAAAACAATGAAAGGCAAGAATATGTATTGGGATGGAAGCTTACGGAACGCTCGTAGGAATGAACATGGCCTGCTAATACCAGATCAACTTTGTTCTGAACCAACCAAGGGTCATACATTACCCTCTTGCTTTCTCCTTCCATAAAATGGTAGTTGTTACTGTTATACCACGGAGAGTGAACGAGAATAATTTAGCAATGGTGTCTCGGCCCTGTTAACCTTGGAGAGCTCTTGCTTAAGCCATTTGTATTGTGGAGTATATTTACCTTTAAGAAAAAAAACAATAGTAATATCAGATCTCATCGCAATTNCGGTAGTTGTTACTGTTATACCACGGAGAGTGAACGAGAATAATTTAGCCATGGTGTCTCGGCCCTGTTAACCTTGGAGAGCTCTTGCTTAAGCCATTTGTATTGTGGAGTATATTTACCTTTAAGAAAAAAAACAATAGTAATATCAGATCTCATCGCAATTCCGAGAGCTCTCCCTTTGTTTGCAATGGAAATTATAGTGTATTTGTTCTTACCATAGGCAGAGTAAGAAGATAACACAATGATATATGCCGATGCACGCTTAATAGAATACCAAAGGGGGGATGTACTCTGGGATGCCCTGTAGGGTACATGGTACCTATGCATATATGGCTTGAAAGGAGTATATTCTTCCTGAAAAATAACATGAAACTATGTCATGACCAACTTAATAAACTGTAAGGACCATCATTCTTGTCAAGACTAAATGTTGCTACACAAAAACTAGCCAAATAGGTTGAAAACCGAGTTGTCAACAGATAAAAAAACATGAAAATGAGATTCCAAGGAGAAATTAGACATAGGTGGAGAGGAGGGAAAGTGAGTCTTGAAAACGAGACTCACTGTTTTGAGGCATATGTTTGCCCCAAGTCACCTGCAGCATCAATATAAAGCATACAAAATCAGAAGGAAAGAATAAACAAAAGGGTGTGAAAATCACTGGAAATGCAGGGAATTATTGGCACTGACCCATAATGCCAAATGTATAGGGAACGTCAGGTCCTACTTTGGGAGGAGTTGTGAGGGAGAATCGACGGGTTACGTTCTGTTTTCCAAGTTCATAAAAGTACAATGTGTCATACTGCATAAACAAACCAAATCGAGTAATCATGCCCGTTGTGCCCGCAAACAAAGCTAGTGTAGAGTATATGAAAGCCATACAAACTTGGTTCAGAGAGAATAATGTTGTACAATACGAGTTTGAGACNCAAATCGAGTAATCATGCCTATTGTGCCCGCAAACAAAGCTAGTGTAGAGTATAGGAAAGCCATACAAACTTGGTTCAGAGAGAATAATGTTGTACAATACGAGTTTGAGACTATCTGATATACAATTTGATTTTCCATAGTTTTCGTGACTCAAATCCAAGCGCACAACTTTCCTGCTACACCAATACTCTTCTATGAATTATAAAATGAATGTTCTTTTAAACACAGATTATTTAAAACACAGTTCACATAGTTTCCTTTTGCAAGTTGGTTCATTGCCAAGACATATGGCATCGGCAGACACACAAAATAGTCAATGTAACGGTTCATCGCCGTCACATGGAGTAACCGATCAACTATAAACAAAGAAATAGAACAAATGAACCCCACTAATCCTATATGCCAGTTTTGAATGTGGAAGTTATTAGTGGTTATACAATTTGGTGGGATCCACTAATCTTACAGGGTTGTTCATAATCTGTCGGTTACACCACGTGTGGCGTAATCGTTACATTAAATATTTACACCCACATAAGATCTGTAAAAAATGTAATAAATGGAATTGTAAACACTTACATTTACTTTTTTGATAGTGGCATGGTGAATATAGCCAGAGGAATAATTGTAGTATCTGTAAAAAGTGGTTATAGAATGAATCTTGTGCTTTTCATCTTGTTTGCCATCTTCCCAATAGGTCACTACATTGGGGTGTCTCTCTAATGGCGTCACCCATGATATGATCACACCCCGACCTACATGATCTCCTTGCGTTATGTGAACCTGCATGTTCATAAAAATGACTGTTTCTGTATTACAATTACAATGACAACACAAAACCATCAAAAGAACAAACAACATTAAATTAGATACGTCAAAAAGGTCAATTAAATGGGTCAAGTCGAGGTTAACACAACACGAATCTGTTAAACTTATACATGATTTGTATATGATACAAATTCCATTATATATGATTATTTACAAATTAAATATGAATTTAATTAATTTTAACACGACTTAGATAGTATTGTACTATGATATTCTAGTAGCATAGTTTTAACTCTTAACGGATGTGGGATGTAGCATGTGGCACGTAACGGAAACAAAAAATTGAAAGAGTTCAATGGTTTAATAATAGGGTTTCTATATAAGCAGCCAAGTTGAAAAAATAAAAATTACTATCAACAAATTAGATTCAAATAACATTATTGAATTGGTATTTTAACTTTCTGCAACTCCCAAAATTCGACGTACAGAAGCTGAAATTTTTACAACAAAAGGTTTAAATGTTTCTTGAAGATAAAAAAGAAAGAGGTGGAAATTTTTGAGGTTTCCAGAAAATAACGGAGTATGAAAAATAATATCACCATTATAACGGCATTTTCAAAACTATGGCCAGTAATAATGGCAAGAGTGTTTTAGCATGCAAAAAAGATAAACACGTGGACTTTCTAGAGTTATTACACATAAATAAATTAACATAAATCTTATTAAACACGATACGAAATCACTTATATGAACATAATTATATACGATTATAAATAAAACAGATATGAGTGGATTACATTGTAACACTATATAGCTTGGACACAGCACAAATCCGAAACCACCCATTGAAAGTCCTGAAATAAATAACCTAGTCTAAAATAAGAAAAAATAGGTCACTCAAAAAGACACTAAACCAAAAAAAAAAAAGCTAGAGTGGTTTTTAGTAAAAAGGTTTCATGCATGCATGCATGAAGTGATACCTGCTCAGGGGCATTATAGCCAGAAGGTTGAGGGAAGTGCTCAAGTGGAATGTCAATGGCTGGTTCAGCTTTCCTCACATATTGACTTGTGGAACCTCCACTGCACAACCCAACAGTGTGAAGCAGAAGAAGAAGGTGAAACACAACTGTTATGAACCCCATTTCAGTGAGATTGGGAGCTTTGGTATTGGGGTTTTGATGGGAAGGCGTGAAATGAACGTCCTACTGTATAAGTAAAGTCGTGTGGAGATTAAGAATTTAAGGGTGATGACGATGAGGTAGTTGAGTCTGAAGTCTATTTAAGATTGAGCAATGCTATAGGAGCTTATTTAGGGATTTAATTAAAGACCTAATGTGGTTTCAATGCAGTTATTAGATTAGTTGTGAGTTCTAATGTTAGATGGACCCCACAATCAATCCAATAATTGTATTAAATTAGGTCTAAATATCATTTTCCTTTAAGATTTTTTTGTTGGGATTGGATTTTATCTGGATTATAACCCGTAAATAGCCAATTAGGGCATCCAATACGGAGCTGACAACTCAGCTGTTGTGTGAAAAATATTAATAAAAAAATTGGTACAATAATTCTAAAATTTTGTACTTTTGTAGGTGGTTTTATAATTTTCATGGGTACTTTTACAATAAAAAATTTTATTATTTTTGTTAGTATTTTTACTATTTTTATAAATATTTTTATCACTGTTGTAAATATTTTAACCACTATTGTGATAAATATTTTTACTATTTTTCTTTTATACAAAAAAAAATTACTAATTTGTTGGGTGTTTTTACCACTTTTGTGGATGTTTTTATTACTATTGTACTAACTATTTTTATCATTTTTCTTCAGTATCACAATAGTAATAAAAACACTCACAATAGTNATGGATGTTTTTATTACTATTGTAATAACTATTTTTATGATTTTTCTTCAGTATCACAATAGTAATAAAAACACTCACAATAGTGATAAAAATACTNGTGGATGTTTTTATTACTATTGTACTAACTATTTTTATCATTTTTCTTCAGTATCACAATAGTAATAAAAACACTCACAATAGTGATAAAAATACTCATAAAAGTGATAAATATCAATACGGTACTGAATTTTTTTTTGGTAACATAGACAATTCATAACAATTACATCATTTTAGCAGTTGCAGTATCAAGTACGTTTATCAATCATGTCGGGTCTTAATAGATTCGTGTCAAAAATACTCCACTTATACTCAATTTGTTGGGAGAGGATTTGGTACCAATTTGATACCGTACCGTAAAAAATGTGTGGTCATCAATTTCTTGACATTAAATATTACTTATTAAAGGTGATAACTTTGCTAGTAAAAATTGCACTTTTTTTTTCTAAAGACTGTTGATGAACCCGAAATTAATTGGGTTAGGCCCAATAAATATAAACCGAGAAAGTCCAATCAAAGCTGAGTTCACCCATTAAAAGAAGTCCAAATCACCGGAGCCTAAAGGGAGTTGAATAATGAAAATGGGTGTTGAATAGTGAAAATGAGTGTTGAATAGTGAGAAAGGGAGTTGGACTTGTCCACAAATCAAGAAGGAATCAAATGGAACCCAAGTCAAAGGAACCACCCAAGAAGGCATCGCCCAAAGCATTAGAGGGCGTCGCCCAAGTCAGGCGCCACCCAATACTGGCCCTCCTGGTTCCTCGTTCGTTCCCTTCTCCTAGCCACTCCAACTCAAGTCCAGTCCATTGCAATGCCAATTCAAGCTCAAGGTCAAGCTCAGTCCGACTCAGGATCATCCTTCAATGGAATAGAAACTCGAGGAAAAGAATATCGGGATACGAGGATCCAATCCTACTAAAGTTGTACTTACCAAAATAGTGGAAGACCCATTTCCTCACATCACCGCCTCACCGCCTTTGTAAGCCTATATAATGAAAACCCCCCACACATAAGGGGCAGGACATTCAGACCTCACACATATCTTTCTACACACATAGTCTCTCTCTCTTTCTCCCCCAAACATTGTAATACTCCTGGAGCATACTCTCCTGGAGACTCTATTGATTAATAAAACATCTCAGACTACCGCTGCCGTTTTTCAAAGTAGAGTAGGTCACCCGAACCGAACCACTATAAATTTGTGTGTTTTGTACTTATTTATTGTTTTGTCATTGATTGCCTATTTACTGCTCATTAATTGTGTCTCTTGATGCACTCGACTGTTGATTTTGCTCAATATCGATTTGTGCATCATCAGTTTAGCACCGTCTCTGGGAACGACTAGTTTCCTACTCTCTTTCAATCCATGACAATCACTACCAGATCGATGAGCCAACAGCAAGGAAACAACAACCTAGCCCACCTACCCTCGCACCATCAAAACCATCAACTACAGCGACCCCCGTCGTCGGACAACAAATCCTCTAAACCATACAACTATTGGTGAACCAAAACCAGCAGATCATCCAACTGATGCTCACCCATGGGGGTGTCACCCTTCACCCTGTGGGAGGAGCCCCACTCCCTCCAACAAGAGAAGAGTAGCAACTCCTCCCTTCGGGGCGTCAGGCAGCTCCTCACCATGGGGGCNGAGCCCCATTCCCTCCAACAAGAGAAGAGTAGCAACTCCTCCCTTCGGGGTGTCAGGCAGCCCCTCACCATGGGGGCCCTCACCAGAATGCCCCAAGGCCACATCAGGGCACCCCTCACNAAGCCCCACTCCCTCCAACAAGAGAAGAGTAGCAACTCCTCCCTTCGGGGCGTCAGGCAGCTCCTCACCATGGGGGCCCTCACCAGAATGCCCCAAGGCCACATCAGGGCACCCCTCACCCAGCAGTCCCTCCTCAGCGCGCAAGGAGCTCTCATGCATCCCCTCCGCACGTATCTGCGTAGGAGAACGAGGACGGAGAAAGCCAATATGGGGACCATGAAAGCCAGTANACCCAGCAGTCCCTCCTCAGCGCGCAAGGAGCTCTCATGCATCCCCTCCGCACGTATCTGCGTAGGAGAACGAGGACGGAGAAAGCCAATATGGGGACCATGAAAGCCAGTACCACCACCCAACTGAGGATGTCCCTAATCAGTGGGACGATAAGATTAGAGAGGTGCAAAATCAACTTGGTGATGCCCTCAACGCCATCAAGGCACAGGTGCCTAAGACCGTAGACTACCTGGTAAAACGTACTAATACACCTTTCGTTGCTGATATAGTCAATTATCCCTTAATCTCGAAGTTCAAGATGTCTGTCATCAAGATCTTCAACGGCACCAAAGACCCCCTCGACCACCTGGACACCTACAAATCCCTCATAAAACTCCACAATGTGCTTGAGGAGATTATGTGTAGAGTCTTCCCTACCACCTCAAAGGGACCGCATGCCAATAGTTTGCAAAAATCAAGCCCTCTTCAATTCACTCCTTCACGGAGTTGAGCACATCCTTCGTCTCCCACTTTATTGGGGGGTGCCAACATTAGAAACCAGTGGTCCACCTGCTCACCATCAAGCAGGATATGGATGAGAGCCTCAGGGAGTATCTCAGCCGCTTCAACGAGGTGGCTCTCCAGATTGAGGAACCAGATGATAAGATAACCCTGGTCGTCTTTATCGTCGGTCTTCGCACTTCTAGTTTTATGTTCTCCGTCCTCAAGAAGCCGTCATTCAGCATGCCTGAGTTGCTGTCAAGGGCACAAAAATACATGAATGTCGAGGACGTCACCAAGGCTCCTAGAGGTGAGTCCTCCCGAGGAAGAGAGAAAAGGAAGGACACTCGTGAAGACAAATGGGAGGCAAAGAACAAGAGAAAGAGAACCAAAAGAGTCTCTGTCAAGGATCGTCTCGATCCATACCCCCTAGAGAACAACAGCCTTTCACACCACTTAACGCCTTTGTGGAACACATCCTATTCCAAATACAAGATGACCCCACGCTCCGTTGGCACGAAAAAATAAAGTCTACCGCAAACCGTAGAAATCACAGCAAGTACTGTTGTTTCCACAATGACCATGGCCACGACACTGATGACTGCTATGAGCTCAAGAGGTAAATCGAAGAGCTCATACAGCGTAGCCAGTTGAGGCAGTACGTTGCTGGTAGAGGGCAAGTCCCGCCACCAGGCCGGGACCAGGACGATAGCGAACACCAGCAACCCCTCGGAGAAATTCAAACAATCTCCTGAGGGCTAAGAGGAGGCGACTCCAACTCCGCCAAGGAAATATTGGCCCACCTATGGGATACCGAACACCTCAAGATTTTATCTATCTTTTATTGTTTCAGTTGATTTATTTTGTTATTCGTTATTTTATGAAATAAATT